AGGCAGAAAGGGCCCAGGAAAGAAAGGCGTGATAGCATCTATAGTAAAACAGAGAGCTGCCTTACGGGAGGAAAATCGTGGGAGCAGAAGCAGGTCTGAGAAGGTGTGTGTATGTGGGTGTGTGTGCAATGTGTGCACATATGAACATAGCTTCATCGTTTCCTGTCCCGGGGCCTTGTCATTTCTTGACAACATGGCCTTATTATTTAAAGAGAGAGCAAGAGAAATGCCCCTATGCTTGTTTTGATGATGCAGCTCTCAAGGGCATAGCCTATTCCACATGCCTACGACAGGCAGGAACACAATCTAGGCCCCAGGAATCCTCTCTTGGACTTTTAAATCACAGGGTAGAAAAGCATAGTCCCTGGAGGGCCCTGGTTATGGTGTGCACTGGAACCCCAGGAATATTGGGAGTATCTGTTCCAGTGGGGTATGTGTGTCTGTCTGCCAACTACAGGAAAAGTGCTGATGTCTATGAAAGGAGTTAAGTGATAGGTAATGTCCTCTGCTGGTGATCCAGGTAGAGTCCAGCCTCCCTCTCTACCTTTGCCTGTACGTTGTGGGTCTGTAACTGTTAAAGTTATGGTGTAATGCCTGTATTACCAGCACTTGGGAGGCAGAGACATCTGTTCAGGTGTGAAGCTAACCTGGGCTAAAGTGTGTTCAAGGTCAGCAAGGGCTACAGTGTGAGACCTGTTTCCAAACAAACAAACAAACAAAAAAACAAACACACAAACAAAAAACAAAAACAAAAAAACCCCTGGAAATATTAGAAGTTACAAATGTACAAAACAAAGTTTCATATTGACAGTTTTTGTTACTGTACAGTTACATGAAATTTCCACAGCACTGTGAGCACTGAATTAGTCACAAACAATTAAAGCTGAAACTTTAAAAGAGATTTGAAATAAAATACTAACTTTGTTTTCCAAAGCTATCTGGGTATCAGGGCAAGAGCTGCACACAGCTGAATCCACGTTCTGAGCCTTGAGGAAAAGGAAGGGTGGGTCACAACAGGGAAGAAAATGGACAGGGAAGAGGGGATCAAACTTCTTCTGGTTTTGCTTTATTTATTTATTTTTTTAAAGTTTTCAAAGTTTTTCAAACTGTTTTAAAATGTGACATTCTAATGAATACAAAGAAAATAAATTGAAAGAAACTATTTAGTTGAAGACAAAGACAAAATTTTTTTTTAGCTATAGAAATATCCAGAGTTTTTTTTTCTTATTTATTGTGTGCCTGTGTGCATGTAAGTGTACATGTGTATTGTGCGCATATAAAAGCAAGTGTGGCCAGGTGGTGGTGATGGTGCATGCCTTTAATCCCAGCACTTGGGAGGCAGGGGCAGGTGGATCTCTGTGAGCTCAAGGCCAGCCTGGTCTACAGAGTGAGTTCCAGGACAGCCAGGGCTACACAGAGAGAACCTGTCTCGAAAAGACAAGCAAACACAAAAAGCAACTGTGTGTGCGTGTGTTCGCTTGAGCAGAGGCCAGAAGAGTGCCCAGGAGTTCTCCACCACTCTCTTCCTGGTCCTTTGAGGCATGGTCTCTTCCCCGAACCTGGAGTTTGGGTTTCCGAGCTAGCCAGAAGACAGCAAGCTCCAGTGGGCCTTCTGTCTCAAGCCCTGAGGGTTCGAGTCACAGGTGTGTGCAGGCTACCTGGCTTCTAAGGGGGTGCTGAGATCCAAGCCTGGTCCTCATGATGATGCTAGTCATCTCTCCAGCTCCCTGATCTGGGGATATTACAAAGAGCAAACCCCTTGAGTAGAAACTACCAGGAATATAATTAGTTTGTAGCTGCTCACAAGACAACCAGAATCTTTCCCATTTAGAAAGTCATCTACATCTTTTATTTTTGGCTAATAAAGCATTATTTTGACAACTCTAGCCAAAGCTGCTCATATCCGCAATGCCTACTAGAGAAAGTAGAAGATGAGGTCATAGCTCAGTTGGAAGAGTGCCTGTCTGGCATGCATGAGGCCCTGGTTCTGCTCTCCAGGACCACAAAGTCGGTGTGGTAGTGCAGGTGCTCAAGAGGTGAATCAAAGCCAGCCTGGGATACTTGAAACTTAATCTCAAAAAAGTACATTGGTTAATAAGAAGGAAGGAAGGAAGGAAGGAAGGAAGGAAGGAAGGAAAGAAGGAAGGAAGGAAGGAAGGAAGGAAAGAAGGAAGGAAGGAAGGAAGGAAGGAAGGAAGGAAGGAAGGAAGGAAGGAAGGAAGGAAGGAGCCAAATTGCTTAAAATGTTCTATTTTTTTAAACATTTATTTATTTGAGTGTTCTGTCTGAATATTTGCCTGCATTACAAAAGAGGGCACCAGATCCCATTACAGATGGTTTTGAGCTACCATGTGGGTACTGGGAATTGAACTCAGGACCTCTGGAAGAGCAGTCAGTGCTTTTAGCCTCTGAGTCATTTCTCCAGCCCCAAATATTTTCCTACTTAAAAATTATTATTATTTTTTTTACTACTATAGTACGCATTTCCTGTCCGATCTGGTCTGATCTTTGTGTTGAGTTCTACAAGAAACTGCTTATTTCTGGAGAGTAGCGCCATTCCTGCCTCAGTAGCACCTGCCTGACTTCATGATGGGAAGACATGCTGGGTACTTGGCTTTCACAGGTCTGAGTATACTCAAGAACAGGAATAAAAAGTGCTGAGCCTTGAAGAAGTAAACATGCTCCCTGCAATTTAGACTCCTTGGCTACTAGAGCCACAAAAAGCCACATGTATGAACTATTACTACCCCGTGACATCTCACAATGTCCGCTGGACATACACGAAATCCCCCAGGACCCGAACGGTACGGTGTCAGGGTAGGGCATCTTGTGCCCAAGTGGCTTCTCTTGAGCTGTGCTTCTCCAAGCTGCATAGCCCCGTTGGTTGTCATGGATACACTGCAATATCTGCTCTAGGACTAATTTCACACAGACCAAGGTGCCAGCTGAAATGCTGACTTTATATGTCTTAATCTGGAATATATTCTGCTGTCTGAACCAGCTCTAAAAAAATGGCAGAGATAATCTTAGGACTGACACTGGTAGCTGGGACTTGGGGTTAAAACAGTAAGCCTAAGGTTTGTCTGTGAAAGTGGCTGTGGTTAATGTGGGTCCAGGGTCCCTTCTGTCAATCTTCCCAAACAATCAAACACTGTCAGAAAGACGCTGTCTTTCTGATGGCCTCTGGCAGCGACACTCACCGGTGGTCACTGCGTGCCCTGCATCTTATCCTGGTATTCCCTAGCACTTGGAGCCTTTGTGTTCTCTAGTGATGCAGGGGGGCAAAACTCATAAACCACGAGAAGAACTGAGATGCAGTCAATCCCTACTCAGCAAGCAATGGTACTAAAGTTAACATAAATTTCCAAGCTGATTTCTTCCAACAACCTGCCCCGACTTCTAGTTTTGAAGTGAGAATATACTCAATGGAGAGTGCAGTTTAAATGTTACAGCTTTTATATATATAGTATGTTGAGGGCAGGCAGTCGGCTGCTCTGGGTCCTTGGGGACATCAATTTGTAACCTATTCTCTGTCTTTCTCACTGGGTCTCTTACTCCAATTACCTCTAAAATAATAAAGGCAGTTTATTAAATCCCACATAAACCCCACAAGGCGAATGTCATCGCCGGCCCTACAGATTAAAGAATTGAAACACGTCTAAAGTCAGGCGAGAGCTGGACCCAAACTCAGGCGGCATGACTCAAAAGACTGTGCCCCAGCGGCCCCCACCGCGTACTTCTTGGCTCCACTTACACCACATGGCTGTCGCCCTGCTGGAAGTGCTCTTACCTGGTCCAGGTCCTGGGGCTCCACACAGACAGATCTGTCCCACTGACGTCCTCAGCCTTTACGTTCTCTTTCTAGGGTAGCCCTGCCGCTAGCTCCTCTGCTTCCCGCTAAGGTTATTCCCCAAACTGGTTTGATGACAAAAATCCACCTGAAGAACTTGTTAAACGCACAGCCTCTCCCCGTCCTGTTCCCGGAGATTCTGATTCATTGGGTCTCACATGGTCTTAGAAATGCGTATTTTTAACAAGTGCCCCAGGGGATTCTTCTCTTCTGCAGGTTTGAGAAATGCTGCTCGGGGAGTTTTAGCCAATGGGAACACCCACTGCTGCCTTCAGGATCATATATTGAGTCAAATTATTACTAGGAAGATCACATTTCTATAGCTGCATTAATCCAAAGTGCTCAGCACATATGGCACTAAGTGGTTTTGGTTTTTTCCAGGGAGGATGGGATGTCGTGCTGGGTGAATTGGGATGTCTGTGATATTTTTTTTTTGTGTCTCCTTTTCAAGTGATGACTGTTGAAAGAATTCTTTAATGGTTGTGCCCTTGAGGGAGTTTCTGTATTGCTCTGGTCATGGAACAGCTTAAATCAAATAGAAAGTATGTCATTCAGTATAGTTCTCTTAAGTCTGCCTACGAGAATTTTGAACAAGAGAAATTTAAATAAAAAGGAGAAAGGAGTTTATCGACTTTTCTTTTCTTGAAGGACCCTACAGCAAATTCTTTGTATAACTAAGACTGAAGGACTTGGGCCTTTCAACTTAAATGCTTATGAACCATGAACACAGAATGACTTAAGAGTATTTTATAGGAGATTAATTTAATTTATAGACTGTAATCAGATGCAGAAATGATCTTTGATAGTAAAAGAAATCAAATACAAAATTGTTGAAACTTATGACTTTTGTAAATTGTGCTTAATGTTGGTAAAGATCTCAAACATGCCTAACCCACTCTGACACCACTCACTGCTTGACATGGTGGCATCTCCACTGTGCACTCGCCAGAGCTGAACGTCAACAGCTGTATTATGAGTCAGAAGGGGAGGGAGGGTGAGAACAGAAAATGATATCAAAAGACTGTAAGTGGGGTTAGGCATGCCAGTCCTCCTGCCCAGTGGGACACTCTGCCCAAGCCCCGCTTCTGAGAGGGCAAGGGCATCAGCGGCAGAAGTCTGCCCCCAGCTTCCAGGTACAAGACGTACCTACCTCTTGGTGGGAGTGGGCACTCCAGAGGACATGTGGCTAACCACGGTGTCATTCATATTAGTCAGAGGGCGAGGAGGGCTGAAAGAAAAAGATATTTACATCACATTAGCAATTACCAGGCCTGGAGGAAACAAAAGAAGAGTGTAGGCAAAGGACTGGCTATGACGGTTCTTGATACATGCCGGGCCAGATGGCGGCGGGCTCAGAAATAGATTCTTCAGGCCTACATAAATTCAACAAGATGGGTTCTCACTCAAAGGCCACAGCACAGGAGCTGTGGCAAACCAGGAAGGCAACAGATTATAAAGACATTACTTTGGAGCAGGGTGTATTGGCATATCCTGGAATTTAAGGCCAGTCTGGGCCACAGTGAGTAGACTGTCTCACCCCCACAACACATACAAAAGTGGGGACGGAACTGCTTGCTCCTGCTGTATAGTTCTCATACAAAAGAATATAAATCCACTCACTTGCTATTGTGCCCATTCTTTAGGCGGTGGTGGGATACTGGGAATTGAATCCAGCACCTTGAATATCCTAGGCAAGTGCTGTATCACTGAGCTATAGTACCATTCTGACTTGTTTTTAGTTTTTTGTTCATTCTTGTTTTTGTTCTTGAGCTCAGACTGGCTCAAGATGGAAACCCTTCTACCTCTGCAGCCTGAGTGGCTGGCATATACCGCCAACTCCGCTCATGCCACTTACTTTTCATTAACTTTAATCTGCTTTTTTTCTCCACCTTTAAAAATTATGTGTGTGTGCGTGTGCACGTGCGCGCATGTCTGTGTGTAGTATGGGTGTGGGCATAGTGTCTTTTACCCATTGAGCCTCCCTTCTAGTATTCACGTCTGGTTTAAGGACAGGTCACAATGTCCACTTGCTACTTTCTCTGAGATTCAGTTAGTCACAGCTCACTGTTCTGCTATATTCAATTTGCAAATGTTTTAGCAAAACATTTAAATTTCTTTTTTCTGAGACAGGGTGTCGTATAGCCCAGGCCGGCATCAAACTTTCTAGGCTGCCTAGGACGACTCTGAACTCCTCCTGATCTCCTGCCCCTACCTCCTAAGTGCTGGGATGGTAGATGTGTGCCACCACACCAGACTCCGAAGTATTTGGTTCTTAAATACTAATAAAAAATAAGGCTCCGCTCATGCCTGGTATTATGAACCTGGTCAAGAGCCCAAGGCTAGGGAGATCGCAGGTCATGTGGAGAACCAATTAGTGTAGCTTTGCCAAGTGGATGTCAGCTGCCTTCTAAACACATCTGCACTCAGAGACCAGCGAGAAGCTGCTTTGGGCAATGGGCAGCAGTTAATGGAAAAACTCCTAACTGATGGAAGTACTGCTCCTGAGAGTGAGTGACTGCTGAGTGCTGGCCCCTGAACGGGCATCTGTATCACCTCATCCAAGGCTCCAGGAACAGGAACGAAAGAGAGAGCAGATGAATTCGAGAGTCAGTGGACGGGAAAGAGTGCTGTGAAACAGTCTCCTGGACGCGACATGGCTGGTTCACTCACAAACGCACTGCAGCTGTGGTTAGCTGAACGCGACCCGCACAGAACTAGGCCGGTCAGCGTTTTCTCGTGGATGGGAGAGGGGCTCAGGCTCATGAGACTTCATTCCTTTTTGAGGGACTGCTGGCAGTTTGTGGCTTTTTGGGGAGAGGGGTGCCGCTGTCTTCAGGGGTGTCGCCGGCGATAAAGTCGTCCAAGCTCCAGTAGGAAACACTCAGGTGGCTGCTGGGTCCTCCTCACCTCCGAGACAGTGGCTTGCACGGAATGTTCTGAAGAAGCTACATCAGCACTGCCCCGCACGGCGACGGCACAGCTACCTGACTGTTTTGCAGGGTGCACAGCACCTTCATGCAAAGGCTCGGGGGGACTTAGTTTGGGGAGAGCCAGCGGGCCCCGAGGAAAAGAGAGAATCCTCTCGCTACGTACCCATTTAATGGAGGAAATCCAAAATAGAAAAGTGAATGCGAGAAGCAGATCTGGGGCATAGTCAGGCCTCTGTGTTCTGTTTTGTTTTGTTTTGTTTTTTAGGACAGGGTCTCAGGGGATAGTCCAGGTTAGCCTCTTGCTTCACCTTTCCAAGTGCTATCTATGATAAAAATCCCTAGTCACAGTGCTTGGTTTGGACGCTGCTTGATAACAGAAATATGCCTTCCCAGGCGAGATTTCAACTCTAAGCTATTCATCTGCCAGACAAACATCTAAACCTGCAAGCTTGTTACTGCTAATGGCCGCACTGAGTTATAATCAATTAGTCAATCGCTTTAGGTTGACTAATGAAGGGAGAAAATGGATAGATCAGCTTACTTCTAGTCCTCAATTTCTACTTTTGCCTCTGGGTCTTTTAAATCAATTGTCCTGCTTGAAACAAGGAGACGATCCCTCTAGAGGAACCAAGTCAGAGGAGCGAGCGGCAGGTCCGCACTCTACGGGCACCAGACACGTGCTGGTCAGGGACAGAGCAGGCTGTGCTTCTCCGTGTATTAGTACTAGCAATCCACCCCCGAATGTCGCTTTCAGAACTAAAGGAGTTATCTGCTTTACTTCAATTTTAAAGATATCACTGCATCCATTTTCTTGTTGACACTCTCAGAGGAAATAAATACAGTAGAGAAAAAAATTAATTTCTTGAACATGAGTATATATGACAAAATGTCATGATCTGTAGCATTTTGTTGGGTCTGATGCCAGAAAAGTCTCTTGGCAGATATCACAACCAACTATTTATTACCTTTTCACACAAAGAGAAGCCTCTTCTCTAATGTAATGTGGATACTCATGATTACATCATATTCTGGAAACTCTTCACACCCTGCCCCCAAGTCAACATCCTTTCTAGACATCTACCATAAACTAAAGAGACAATGTGGCTTTACCGAACAATAAAACTGGTACTTGCGGGCTGCAGAGATGGCTCAGCAGTTAAGAGCACTGGCTGTTCTTCCAGAGGTCCTGAGTTCAATTCCCAGCAACCACGTGGTGGCTCACAACTACCTGTAACTCCAGTTCCAGAGGACCTGACACCCTCTTTCGGCCTCTGCAGGCACCAGGCAGGCATGTGGTGCACAGACCTACACACAGGCAAAACAGCCATGCACATACCATAAAAATGTGGCTTCAACGAACAATAAAACTGGTACTTGCGGGCTGCAGAGATGGCTCAGCAGTTAAGAGCACTGCCTGTTCTTCCAGAGGTCCTGAGTTCAATTCCCAGCAACCACATGATGGCTCACAACCATCTATAGTGGGATCTAATGCCCTCTTCTGGCATAAAGTTGTACATGCAGATAGAGCACCATATACATTAAATAAATAAATAAACAAACAAAAAAAGAAAAGAAAAGAAAAAAAAAAAAGAAATTGGAACTTGCAAGTCTCAAGAAGGTCCTCCAAATGGGATCACCACCAGAGCTGCAGGCCATTGGGAAAGCCAACGACACTGAAGCATTCTTAAGAAATGCCTCTTGGGGGCTGGAGAGAAGACTCAGTGGTTAAGAGCACTGACTGCTCTTCCAGAAGACCTGGGTTCAATTCCCAGCACCCACATGGTGGCTCACAACTGCCAGTAACTCCAGTTCCAGAGGACCTGACACCCTCTTTCGGCCTCTGCAGGCACCAGGCAGGCATGTGGTGCACAGACCTACACACAGGCAAAACAGCCATGCACATACCATAAAAAAATAATAATTTCCTGTTTGCCAGTAAGATATCCACCCCCCAAATGAACAGATAGAAGCAGATCAGTGTCGTAGGCAGAAGACGAAAATAATTTGCTAGTCAGAAAAAACGTCTGGAGTCTCTCCCTCTCCCTCCCTCCCTCTTTCTCTCTCTGTGGGGGAGGTGGGAGGTGGAGAAGAGACACAGAGGTATATATACACATGTGTGCAAGTGTGCCAGATAATGTTGGGTGGCCTGTTCTACCATGCTGCACCTTATTCCCTTGAGACAAGGTCTCTTACTGAACTTAGAGCTAGGCTGACAGCAAGCAGCCCCTGGGATGGATCCTCCTGTCCCCTGCAACCCTCACAACACTGGGGTTACAGGAACATGTGTTCCCACCAACACTGGGGTTACAGGAACGTGTGTCCCCACCAACACGGCTTTTTATGTAGGTTCTGAGAGTTCAAACTCAGGCCTTAGGCTTGTACAGCAAGCATTCTTACCCACTTTCATTTCCCCAACCCCTGAGAGCCTTTTTGACTTTTGTTTGAGACAGAGTCTTGCTATACAGCCCAGGTCTTGCAGTCATCCTGACTCAGCCTCCTTTATGTTAGGAAGTTTGGATAGAACCCAGTACCCTGGGTATATTAGGCAAGTGCTCTATCACTGAACTACATTTATTATAGTTGTGGGCCACAGTGTCCAGTGCCTTTTTCTTTTCTTCTTTTCTTTTTTCTTTTTCTTTTTTTTAAAGATAGGTTTCTCTTTAGCTTCGGCTTTCCTGGAACATACTCTGTAGACCAGGCTGGCTTTGAACTCACAGAGACCTGCCTGCCTCTGCCTCCAGAGTGCTGGGATTAAAGGCATGCACCACCACTACCTGGCTTATTTCTTTTTAGCATTTATTTTTTGTGTGCATAATTGTCTGTGCACCACACATGTACCTGGAACCTAAGGAGGTCAGAAGAGGGTGTTGGATCCTCTGAAACTAGAGTTAGGGATGGTTGTGAGGCATCATGTGGGTGCTGGGAACCAAACCCAGAAGAGCAGCTGGCGCTCTTAAACACTGAGCATCTATCTCTTCAGAGCCTTGTTATCATTTTGTTTGGAGACAGGATCTCGCTATGTAGACCAGGCTGTCCTAGAACTTGCTCTGTAGACCAGGCTAGCCTTGAGCTCACAGAAACTCAGAGATCTGCTGCTTCTGCCTTAGAGTCGGGGCTGCTCTTTTTATTTCTTAAAGGGTAAGAGGCACATTTCCTGAGTGCATAGTCATAAAAGATAAGACTCTATCTCAATAGTTAACTATACATGTATGAGGACAGATGTGCAGTCACAATGCCAAGGAGAGTGAGGCGGAGCGAACAGACACTGGGGGAAGATGAGGGTGTGCTCCTGTCCGAG